TGACTGTAGAAGGCCATCTAACACAATCACCCACCCCACGCCGTCTGAAGCGGCCAAACCACCCAAACCTCTTCCTTTTAGGGTTTAAGACCTAAACTCAGTTAGGTCCACCTTGGTCAACAACAACACCTCTTCATTGTTCTCACACGAGGTTCTGGGAGGCTTAAAGAGGTTTGGAAGAGGCCTAGCAACCTGTGGTGCTGGTGAGTGAAAGGATTTGCAAGGTCTGAGAAAACGTGAAAGGCGCCTAACGGCCTGGGAGGAGAAGTACTTGAGGTTTCTGGGAAGCTTTTAGGAGGCTCAGGGGTGCTTGGGAGGCCTTTGGGAAGCTCCTGGAGGCCCCTGAAAGGCCCGCCTGTGGCGGTCCCTTTTTTTGTTTTGTTTTTTTTTGGGTGTGGTGAGAGATTGGAAGCCGCTGATCCCCCCCTCCTGGCTCTCAGGCCCCCTGGTCCCGAAATTCGCTCGCAAAGGAGGCACTGGACCCCCAGACCCTCCCTAGGATCCAGCCTGGAAAAAACCAGCCAGCCAATTTCTGAAGGAAGAGCTTGGGGTTTAGGGTATTGACTTTAAAAAACAACCAGTACGGTTTCAAGGAGAACGGTTCCGGTACCGGGCCTGCCGTGGGTGCTACCGACCTCGTGGCTGTGCTGAGGCGGGTCCAGCTAGGTCGGTCAGCCCAAGGGCTTCAGGGGGCATAGGCGCCGCCCACCATCGTAGGTGGGCGGCCTCTGCCTTGAGTTTAGAGTTTAGGGTTTAGGGTTTAGGATGGTTTAGGGTTTAGAGATCACATCGGGGGCCCAGGTAAGAAGTACTACAACATAGCCCTCAGGTGTGTGAAGGCTAAGCCCACACGGCCCATCTTTTCTCCCAGGAAATAAGTCTGAGTGTGCGCAAGACAGAGAGCAGGGAATGTTGGCTACCCCAGCAAGACCTTATCACTCTCTACTATGGCTGTCATACTGTTGATGGAGGAAATCTTGCACCACCTATGGTCCCTAAGTTACCATAATTCCTAGTACTATAAGGACTTTAGGTGGTGCAAAATTTCCTCCATCAACAATAGGATTTTTGTCATGAAAGTTGCGCTAGCAAAACTCCTCGTGTTGAACCCAAATCCTTGAGCTCCCAGCCCCTAACACCAATACCTCGGCAGTTGGACCTGAATTCTTGTACGCAAAAACAAACATGAGTAGCGTTTTTTGGGTGATTGAACCCAGTAAGATTATATTCCTTATTCTATAAAATACTATACCCAAAAGGAGGAAAGAATCTTACTCTATATTGGGTACCATAGTATCCCCAAAAAAAACACTATTCACATGATGCCTGAAACTCCACACCGTCGCCTGGATTCGCATCAGCCGTGCAACCACCTGCCAAGGCTTCCATGAGCTCAACTCATGCACGGTTTCAGGGCTGAGGAATCAATTTTGGGATTTGGGGTCTGCGGGCGTTGCGGGTTTTAATTGTTCAGGAATCACGGACTTATAAAGCTCAGTGGACCAGGGTATGTACGGTTTCGGGTTCAGGGCTTCTGAAAATGGAGTACCCTGAGTGACCTAGGAGCAAGTCGAGATTACGAAGGGTCTGAACGGGACCTTTTTCAAGATTATTGCTTTGAGAAGCTCTGTTTTTTCTAGATAATTTCACCCTCAAGGCTCATACACATAAACACAATGGCTTCAGCTATTAAAAAAAAACTGGTATTTGGGTACCTGGACCCCTCACGGTTAGCCAAATGTCAGGAAGAGGTTAGCGATGTTCTGGGTATAGGCATAGGGTATATAAGATTTCCTCCGTCCACAGCGGCGCCTAGATACCCTAAACCCTAAAACGTTCCCTATTAACAGCCGGCAAGGGCCTGTTACCTTTGAGCCCTGGTTTAGGGTTCCGGGCTTAGATCCCCTTTCACGACCTCAGGTAAAGAACTCAGGGAAAACCATATGTCATGTAGAACTTTTCCATGCTCGTCATGAGAATACGGAGACAACCCAATACCCAAAGGGAAGGATCACAGGTCCCAGCGAGGTGCCGAAGAAGAAAATCTTCTTGCTAGGATGAGCGAGTAGACCTTAGGGTACCATAACCCTGGACGTTAATTAAACCCCAGAGCCTTACTGTACGTGCATTTGGGACTGATCCTTAAATCTAACCACTAAACCCTACAACCCTAAACTTACTGGGCACATGACCCCCTATGTCCCGTAAGAAACGGACCTTCGGCATGAGCGAAGCTGTGTCTCGGTTATAGACCAGGTCGGAACCCAAGATCAGATCCTTTGTTCACGCAGCAGAGGGTTTCGGGCTTCGGGTTGAGGGTTTAAGGTTACAAGGAGGTTTATGGGGCTTGGACACTAATTACTATAACGCCTATACCATCATTTAGGGGATTTGGGTGTTCAGCCCAGTTGTAAAAAGGTACGAAAGCCGATGAAGCCAAGCATCGGAGATTCCACACCCTTGTGCAAGGGTCCAAGTACCCAAATTGTAGGATTTTAGGTGCCCAAAAAAGGCTCAAACCCCAAATCCCTAAACCCGTACATTCAGGGTAGGAGAAGGCTTGTTGGACCTCGAGGAGGGTTATGCCCTAGAAGAAATAGGGTGTAGGGTTTAGGGTTTAGTGACTTAATAACTGTAATTTTCACATAGCTATGGCCACCCTAAACCCTAATCCCTAGACCCTAACCCCAAAACTCTAACCCCTAGCCCTAAACCCTAAACCCTAATCCCTAAACTTAAACCCCAAGCCTCCCAAACCCTTCATTCATCGTTGCCAGCCGCGCGTCCCAGGATTCATCGCAAACGACGCTGCCCTCCTCGGATGTGTTGGGTTGAGGGTTTAGGGTGTACGTAGGGTTTGCGGTTTAGGGATTGAGCGTTTAGGGTTCAGGGTTTAGAGTTTAGGGTTTCACTTAGGGTTTAGGGTTTAAGGTTGTGCTATGTAGCTATGACAGGCATGTTGAACAGTACTGCCGGTAATCATCCCTACAGAGGTTTGAGAGAACCCAGTTTCCATGTCATGTTCCCTTTTCTTCTCCATTCCACTTCCTCATGACTATACCCTAAGAGTCCAAAGAAAGTACTTGTTGTATAGTCCGCAAAACATAAGTAACAGTCTCGAGCAAAATGATCCCAAGCTATATGGCGATTGTATACTGGAGCCCTTTGAGATAGTCTTGGCAAAGCTTCTACTAGAAGTGTTGTGATAATCCGCTCCACGCCCTATAAGCGGCATTTGGAAGTACATGAGACTTATCGACTACTTAAAGCCGGGGGTAGAATCCTACATAGAACTTGGGTGACCCCTATAATGTTATATGCCCGGTACTAAGAAGTGACTAAGAACTAAGCCCATGAAACTTCAAGAAATTCTGGGATATTTCACCGCGCCTACGTACAGAAAAAAAGCGCACTGATAATGAAAGGCAAATTCCCGGCACAGAGCAGCACGCTCTCTGGCATTCTTGCCAGCGAACTTGTGGATCACGAGATTCAGCCCGTGGGTGCACAACGTGTAAGTGCGTTGTGATACAGCTGAAGCTTTAGCTAAGACTGCGACTTGCGCCTGGAAGAACCGCTTGGGAGTTCTCCAGAACATGGTCTTGGGGAACACGACCATGTCCTGCACTTATCACATGAAGCAACCGCTGCTTCACCTCCCTGTCTTCATTCCTTAAGCATCCGAGGATTCATATTTGAAGGAATTTGGGCCCAAAAACCATACTATGTGAAGTTTTTAGGTGATCTTGATTCTTAGGGATTTGCGGCATTAAGCAAAAACGATACGCGAAGCAACCGCTGCTTCATACACGTTTGGCAAAAACAATTCAACGAGCATGCAATGCCTCCCCGTCTCCACTTGGGGCATTAAACAAAAACGATACGCAAAGCAACCGCTGCTTCATACGAGTTTGGCAAAAATAGTTCGACGAGCATGCAATGCCTCCCCGTCTCCACTTGGGGCATTAAACAAAACCGATACGCGAAGCAACCGCTGCATCATACGAGCGTGGCAAAAACAATTCAACATAATGCCTCCCTG